TGAAAGTGACATTTTATACAAAATAATATTGAAATATGTGTAATAAATTTAAAACAATACAAACAATGATAGTATGTTTAATCCTTTTATGTATTTAAATTTACTCCGAGTATTGAAATATGTGTAATAAATTTAAAACAATACAAACAATGATTGTATATTTTCAAAACAGACTCTGGCGAGATATTGGTAGACTCTGTTGAGGTATTGGTAGATTCTGCCGAAACATTGGCAGACTCTGTAGAGATAATGACAGACACTACTAAGATATTTGCAGACTCTGCCGAAACATTGGTAGACTCTACCAATTTATTGGCAAACTCTACCGATGTATTGGCAGACTCTGCCAATATCTAAGAATTAGCAGACTCTGCCAAAACATTAGCAGACTCTGCCGAGATATTAGTAGACTCTACCTAGATATTAACAGAGTCTGCCAGTATCTAGAAAAGCGCAGAGTCTGCCGAAACATTAGTAGATTCTGCCAAGATATTGGTAGACACTACCAAAAAAACGCAGACTCTACCGATATATTGGCAGACTCTACTAAAAACGTAGAGTCTGCCATCTAGAAAAGCGCAGAGTCTGCCAAAATATTAGTATACTCTACCGAGATATTGATAGACACTACCAAAAAAATGCAGACTTTACCGATATATTGGCAGACTTTACTAAAAACGCAAACTCTGCCGAAGCATTGGCAGACTCTGCCAAAAAAATTTAGAATTTACAAAAAAAAATTTATAATTTACGAAAACATTCACACTTCTTGAGTGTTTTGTATTTTGTTGATAATGGCTTTTTAAATTTTGTGTCTATTTTCTTATTTGAAATATTTTTGTTTGAAATTAAATCTATTTCTAATGTTAATTAGTTAGTAGGGACATTTTTGGTATTATGAAAGAAACAAAATGTAAAATAGGTTATTTAAACAATAAAAATTTTAAGAGGTTACCCTAGTAATTCTTTTTAAAAAGTGGATTATTCTAAGTAAAATTTTCAATTTTTGATTCTATTTTAGTCTACGTGAGTTATCGAAAAAAAAATTATGCAATATTTAAGTACTAAACAAGTCAGTGAATATAGGAAAATCAAACGTTGAGATCCCAAATTACTACTACAAATTAAAGACTATTGACTTAAATCACATATCGTTTTATTAATGTAGGTGCATCGAGATCCCAACTAATTCAAATTAAAGAATAAAGACCATTGACTAATTACAAATTTTTCATTAATTATTTAAATTAAAGTTAAGAAAGTTACATAGTAGATCAAGAAAAAGAGATTATAAAGATGACAGATTGAAAGAGTTGTTTGGTATTCTTCTTCCCTAAAATTGCAATAAAATGGATGAATCACCAAGATGTCGTCTCTCTGATCCTGTTCATCCTCACACTCTTTCCCGACGAAACAACCCTCCTCCATCAGATGGCTTTAGGTGCAAACCACATGGCCGGAGATTTGAAGATGGTGAGTGGTATTACTTCTGTGATATCTGTGAGCTTGTGTTCCACAGCTATTGTGACACCAAATTGCAAGTTATGAGACACCCTTATCACCTCCACCGCTTTCTCAACTTAACTCTTCGATTTTCCGAAACAGAAACCCAATCATTTAGACTCAAGCTGAAATCGATGAAGCCGTCCAGAAGATGGAGTCATGTCATGGTTCTGTTTTTGAATCTGACAACGCATGTGATTGGTGTGGAAAAGAGCTCGGAGATTGTTTTTTTCGGTGTCTTGTTTGTGGTTTTAGTTTGGATCTTTCTTGCATCAAGAAAGACCCTCTTTTTATTATCACAAACCCAAAAAATCATCAACATCCGCTCAATTTGTTTCCTAAACCACTCTCGGTACCTTGCACTGCTTGTGGTTTGGGAGACAATAAAGAAGAGCCAAGTTATGTTTGTCTGCAATGCAACTATGTTGTCCATGAAAACTGTATCGATCTACCACGCATCATAAAGTTAACACGTCATCCACACCGTCTCTCTGACACTCCATGCCTTCCGCCACCTGCAAAGCGGTCATGTGGAGTTTGTCACAGAAACATCGACGTCAAGCATGGGATGTATTCTTGCAACAAGGGCTGCTCGTACGCAGTTCACTCAAAATGTGCGACCCATGAGGATATTTGGGATGGAATAGATCTTGAAGGAGTACCTGAGGAACCTCTTAAAGATATTGCGCCATTCGAAGAACTAGGTGACAATCTAATCAAGCATTTCAGTCATGAACATCCTCTTTTATTCAATGAGGATGAGGTTGATCATGACGCAAACAAGCAATGTCAAGCATGTTGCAGACCTGTTGATTCTGGTGGTTTCTACAGCTGCACGATGTTGCATTGCGATTTCTTTCTCCATGCACCATGTGCTTGTTTTCCTAAAAAGAAAGAGCATCTAGTTCATAAACACCCTCTTACTCGACAACCTGCAATAAGCAGTCAAGGTTATTATTGTATTGCTTGTGAAAGATTTTGCAGTGGCTTCAGCTACACATGCTTGAGCAACTCTTGCAATAGCTTTAAAATGGATGTTGTATGCGCTTTGGTTTGTGAACCGTTTGAACATAAAGTTCATTCACATACCCTATATCTCTTTTCTGGTAGAGAGAGTTCATCTTTGTGTTGGATTTGCGGTTCTGATGAAGGTAAGAATATTTTCAGTTTAATGTGTAATGATTGCGAATTCACTATGTGCTTTAAGTGTGCCACTATCCCTGTTGTGATGCGCTACAAGCACGATGAGCATGATCTCCTCGATCTTTGCGGTGGTGAAGATTCAAATGATCCATATTGGTGCGAGAGATGTGAGAGAAAAATCGATGCAAAGAAATGGTTTTACACTTGCGATAAATGTTGCACCGTCCACATTGATTGTCTATTTGGGGGTTTCAGCTATATCAAGATTGGTTTAAGCTTGGAAGAAGAAGATGGTGTGATGACATTTGCTTCCAACAATGGTAATTCCCGACCAGTCTGCCATCAATGTGGTGTCCGTTGCCTCTATCCCCGATTTTACAAAATGCTCCATCTATGTATTTGCTCTGCCAAGTGTTTCGATCTTTTTTTGGGGTTATAATTAAGCTTCTATATATTCTTCTACGCATGCATGCATGCATGCATATGCGTCACAGTGTATGTAACTTTTGTTTTAAAAACATTTAAACTAAATTTAATATTCTCTGTGGCTAAAGTAATTAAGCTTTCTCTTTTGCAAATATAAATGTTGATATATGTGTGCAATGCAAAGGCATTTTTCAAATCAATACGAAAACATTATTATATTCGTTTCATACTTGCACAGCGAGATTCGTTTTGAGGTACTATATCCACGTGCCATCGTTCGGTTGGAAAGTGTAAAATATTAATGACGCACGTCTGTCTATGCAATGATAGGCTGAAACAGCCCACTTTTTACATAACGAATAAGGCCCATTGGGCTTTTCAAGCAGAGTTGTTTATGTTGAGCGAATCTGATTTCGTGAATCACAAAATCCCTTTCACAACACTTTCAGAGAGAGAAGAGACCGGAGAATGGCGACGGCGATTGTACGTTCAGCTCTTTCCCGATCAGCGATCCGCGTAGCCCCGAGAACATCCGTCGCTCCTAAGCGAAACATGTCCTCTTCTGCCGGCCACGACGATGCTTGTAATCTGTCTCTTCTCTCTGTCTCTTCTTTTCCCATTTCATTACGATCTAGGTTTTTTGTGATTTCGTTATGGTGTTTTCTGGATTCATCTTAGTTTTTACTCTATACTGATGATTTGGTAGATTTCCCAGCTCTGAATTCAATATTATTCCCCACGGATTCAAATTTCTGAACCCAAATCACATGTTTGGGACCAATTTTGAATTGATTCGTCAAATGTCAATTTGATTTCGTTGGCCTGTAAGCGTCAAACTACGTTTTTGTTTTCCCGATGATCTGAATTCTGAAAACGTTTTCTCGGATCAAATCTCCAACATTTCAGTGTTTTGATTCCATGTTGAAAGGGTCAATTTTTTTTCTTCTTGGTACTCAGTAGCCATTGTTTATTTATCAAAGTGTTTTGATTTTTGTACAGACGAAGCTGCGAAATGGGAGAAGATCACTTATCTGGGTGCTGCTAGTTGCACTGCTCTAGCTGCCTATATTTTATCCAAGGGTCATCATCACGGCGAGGAACCTCCTGTAAGCACTCTCTTACAACACTTCCATTGGATTTAGTCTTTTTAGCTTTAGATTTGGAGTCTGAAACCTTCCTTAACTTTTGAGAGACAATGGTGATATTGCCAGTGAAAATGGAACTTAGTTTTGCAAATGATGAAGTTGTAACTAAAGCTTGCATTTTCGCCTTTTTTCTGATTTGGCTAATCTGATTCATTCTGCTTTGTAATATAAGCCTACATTCCGTTAAGCTTTCGTTAACCATTGTTTTCCCTTTGTGTCCTCGTTGCAGGCTTACCCGTATATGCACATCCGTAACAAGGAGTTTCCTTGGGGTATGTATGCTTACCCGTATATGCGTTTCGCGATTTTCAACTTTGATGATGCTCTGTTTAGTTGGGAAAAAAAAAACATGTGTTTTCTCTTCCAAATCAGTTTCTGATGCTCTCTAATTTGCCATTTCTCAGGTCCAGATGGTCTGTTCGAAGTGAAGCACAACGAAGGGCACTGAGTTTTGCGTGTTTACAATAATGTCTTCCTGGTTCCATTTGAAAGGCTAAATTGCTTACCGTATTTGTTTTCACTTTGTCAGCTTGCTACTTCAATCTCCTTTCATTTGTTGGGAAATAAGAATGATACTTTGTTTTGTTATCATCCAAAAGTACTTGTGTTCCCTCAAATCTCTTGTGAGTCAATCTCAGTAAGAAAGGAACTTCTTCATAATAAGATAAGAGTACAAATTGATTACTATCATAAACTCAATACTATTGAGAGGGTCTTTAAGACCCGTGATACGAAAAGTATAAAATATGCATACAACACATGATAACTTCACTACTAAACACATCACTCAGCAGCGACTCTGTCGTTGGTCAATCCATTGCTGGATTCGGGAAGAGTTTCCAGATCAGTTCGAACATCCTTAACATCTTGAGGGAGACTATTAACCAAACTGGATTTGGTATGTTCTTGATCGTTTTGGGACTCCTCTGTTTCACCACTTTTGCTGTTTTCCTCTTTCTCTGACTCTGTTTTCGTAGTATCATCCTTTGTTTCCTTTTTATCAGAATCTGATTTGCTTTGATCATTGCCGGATTCACTCTTGCTTTCATCGGTTTTTTGTCCGTCACTCTTCTCATGTGTGTTTGTAGAATCAGCAGATCTCACCTGTTCAATCTTCTTCTCAGTGTTGGCATTTTCGGTTTCCTGAGATTCCGAAGACTCTTCTTTCTCCTTTTTCTCGGTTTCTTTGTTATCATTCTCCTCGTGAGACGAAGACTCTTCTTTCTCCCCTTTTTCGGTTTCTTTGCTCTCATTCCCTTCTTGGGACAAAGCCTCTCCTTTCTCCTTTTTCTCGGCTTCTTCTTTATTTTCCTCTTGGGACGAAGAGTCTTCTTTCTCCTTTTTCGCGGGTTCATCCTCTTTGCCTTCCTCTTGGGACAAAGACTCTTCTTTCTCCTTTTTCGCAGGTTCTTCCTCTTTGCTTTCCTCTTGGGGTAAGGATTCTTCGGTCTCCTTTTTCTCGGATTCTTTGTTTTTGCTTTCCTCTTCAGATGAGAGTTCAGAGGATTGCCCCTTTTCTTTCTCCTCTTCTTCGTTTTTCGTTTCTTGATAACCAACGGATTTCCCGCTCTCATCTCCATCACCGCTCTTCTCAGTTGATTCCGTAGTTCCAGTTGCATTGGAAGTTGACTGGTTACTCTCAGGAAATTCACCATTAGAATCAGAGAACCCTTTCTCCAACACCACACTCTCACTCTCAGCTTTTGTTTCATCAGTCTCGTTACCTCGCGATGAACCACTATTCTCCTCAGCTTCTACCTTCCTCTCTTGTTTCTCACCATCATCACTACCTATCTCCCCATTGTCTTCAGTTGTGTTCGAAGAAACATTCTTAATAACATTCTCAATCTTTGGACCCGACTCGTCTTCATGGAAACTAACATTCTCAGTACTGTTAGATTTACTTTCTCCCTCAACTTCCACCTTCTTCTCCTCGTCCGTCTCATGCACAACCTCACTCGACGCATCATCACCCTTATAATTCTTCTCCCTAGCTTCCTCATTACTCGTCTCGTTCCCACCTTCACTCTCATCAATCACTTTCTCGCTCTCTTCATTGTTTCCTTCATTCCCCGTACCTTCGATTTCCTTCTCCTCGTTATCTATCGATTTCTCCTCGCCTTTTTCTTCCTCCCTCTCAACACTCTCATCTTCTCCCACTTCCTCATCCTTAGCATCCTTCGTTTCCTCGACTCTCGGGTTAATAAGATCTTTCCTTCCAAGACTCGCGATTTTATCATCACCAACAAGAATCTTACCACTAGTCTCTTTAAACACAGCTTTCTTCTCATGTGAATGCTTCATCTGATAAATCAGCCATATTCCAACACAAAGCAAAACTGTCAACTGAACACAATGTTTCACCTTTAATCCCTTTGATCTTTGTCCTCTTCTTGGCGATGATCTCACCATTTCTTTATCTCTTTAGTACCTAATTCCAATCAAACACAAATGAATAGCAATCATTTAAAACTAAATTCGGAATCAGAAGTAATCGTTTCGAAGATCAAAACAAGGAATTCACGATGAAATCGAAAAACCCAATAGCTTCGAGAATCGGATTCAGTGAAAAAAACATCAGCTTTAAAATATAAAGACTCGAACTTTTCCGATGCAGATCAATAACCTAAAGTTTCAAACTTTTCTATGAAACGATCAAGAACAAAACGGCGGAGAAACCCAACAAACAAAATTGAAACTTTACCAGGAAAAACTGAAACTTTACCTGAAATACAGCTTCTGATTTCTTCGGGACGATGAATGTGAATACGAAAGATCAAGAAGAAAAGTGTGTAGTAGTGAGTTCTTGGATCTAGAGAAAGAAAGAGTAGAGTTCCCGTAAAATTCTCACAAAAATCGTGATTCCCTTAAATTACAAACAAATTGCAGAGACTGAAAGATGAAGAAAAAAAACACCTGACTTCAAAACGACGTCGTCATTTGAGTTTCTTTTTCTTTCCGCTGACTTCATTACGACGTCGTTCCGTGAGTTTTTTTGTTACTTCTCTCCGTTGACTCTTAAACGGCGTCGGATTTTCCGTGTTGGTGGGGTTATTATCACGTGCATCCATATTAATGACTCTCATAATAAATTCACTTGGATCTAGAGAAAGATAAGTTTTTTTTTTTTTGTGAAAAAATATCATTAATGATTTTTGTTAATATCAGTACTATCTCTATCATTTCTTTACTTACTTTTAAATAATCGAAGAAATTTCAATATCGTCAGTGTTTGATTAATAGTACTAATAACGGTAACAAAAAGAAAATACAACGGTAACAAGCAAAATATGCTACTTGTCACTACATCATTGGTTCGTCTTAAACCAAACTCCGTAACATTTTCATGATATAGCCGTTAAATTCCACAACGGTTAAATTAGGGGAAAAAATCAGAAAATGGAAATTCACAAATTATAGCCGTTATATGCTTCATGTTGTTCTATATATATATATATGAAGACCATAATCTCTTCTCTCTTGCTCAATCAAATACGCTATCTTCTTCTTTTAATCAAAATATTAGTTCTATATTTTAGCATTTATCTACAGATTTTTAGGATATTTGCTTGATCTCCTAACTTTCCATGATTCTTTGTCTCTATTTCTTCCAGGTACGCTTTTCTTCTTTACTCAATAGTTGTTTTGCCTTCAAATTAGGGTTTTTTTTCGATTTCCTTGTTCTACAAGTAGATTACATAGTAGTTGCAAGAAAGAAGATTTCATAGTAATCGCTGTTGTGTTTGGTTTTGCAACGAAGAAAACGTACTGATTTCAGAATTTCTTGGTTTTATCTTGAAAGCTGTCCGAAATAGTTGTTTGTGTTCTTCGTTGTGTTTAGTTGCAAAAAAAACTAAGATTTTATAGTAATCGTTGTTGTGGTTTGCTTCTTCTTATCCACATGTTAAAATCTCAAATTTTCATGGTTTTATCTTGAAAGTTGTTGGAATCAGCTTTTGTGTTTAGTATCTTGTATGTTTTTCTTTTTTAAATGTGCACTTCTGAGTTGAAAACAAGAAAGCAAAGACTTAAGTTTCTTTTAGTGCAAAGACAAAGCACTTCTGAGTTGTAAGGTTTGTTCTTGTTCTTGTCTCTTGGAGTAGTCAGTTTTGAAGATAATGATCATTTGATAGGAGGCATGATCATTAAGGCCCAATTCAGCCAAAGGTCCAACCCAGCGTCATAGAGACTAGTATATGTAGGAGCTTCGTCCATAATTGATCCAAAATCATTCACAGCCCAAATTTTTCGTAGGAAGAAATATATTAGATTGTCAGATTATTCAAGAAAATTTGAGTGGTTAGTTACATTATTGTGAAAACAGATCAAACATGAATTCATGTCTTTTGATCGTTAACGATATCATAAGTTCGATTTGTTTTCACACTTTGATGTAATTTGGCATTCGATTTTTCTGAATAATTTACCAATTTAAAAAATTTCAATAGAACCTCAAATATAAATTACTCCAAAAACAAAAGTACTTAGCTTAAAGAGTTCATTGTAGCAAATTTCATTGCAGATTGTGATAATTGTTAAAAAGAGTTCTGATTTTTTTTTAACAACATGATCTAATTAGCTTAAAGAAAATTTGGCATAGAGTCGAGACAACGTGTCAGAGCATCTTCCATAATTCAATTTTTGTGAATAATTTGCCAATTTAAAAAATTTCAATAGAACCTCAAAATATATTTACTCCAAAAAAATGTACTTAGGAGATAACTATAAATTGTGATAATTGTTAAAAAGAGAAGATTTTTTTTAGCTCAAACATGATCTAATTAGCTTAGAGAAATTTTGTCATAGAGTAGACACGATGTTTGATTTGATTGTGAAAACGTATCAGACATAAATTCCAGTCTTTTTATTATTATTGATACTAGATTTTTGACCCACTTTGGATTATAATATTTGAAAAAAAAAACTTCATGAATTTTTTTAATATATCGGAAAAATTAGAAATGACAAATATCAAATGATACATCTTCCACGTAGATAAAATATTTTTTATCATACAAACTTTAACTTGCAGATATAAACTTTAAATGACAAATATCAAATGATACATCTTCCACGTAGATAAAATCTTTTTTATCGTACAATGGGCTTTCATGTAAGCATTTTTTGTGTGAAATGAGTACGTTTGAGATTATTGGTTTTCTCAATTTTTTTTTGAGTTAACCACATTCAAAAAATATCGCGCTAGT